CACACTGGGAGAAGTAGAGTTGTCTTGGGCCACACATTAAATACACAAACATTAATGAAAACTGATGAGGAAAAAAATGGTTTTAAGTAAATTTATGATTTTGTGTTGGGCCTCATTCATAGACATCTTGGGCTGCATGTGACCCGTGGCCCATGGCCGATAGGTTGGACATCCTTGAAATGAGTGCCCAACCAATGTGTTGGTGACTATTTGCCTTTATTGTTTTTAAGAAGCCTTGAATAAATTGAATATATAATTACAATAAAAGTATTACACATTTTTTTTGTTTTCTAGAACAAAACTTTATGACATTTCAGAGTAAGACTTCCAAAGCATTTTCTCAACTTTTCTCATTCCAGTACTTTTTTTATTTTTATATCCAGTGTCCAGAAGACAGCTAGCCACAAATTTAGTTCTCAGAAAGTGTTTGTTGATTTGGTTTTCTATCATTTCCCTCTAAGAAAAGTTCATATTAAATTTAGAATTAATATATGTGAGGAGTGTTTCCTAAAACAAAGTAGAATATAAAAGTAGATGGTTGCAATTATTACTGGTTATTAATTACATTTAGTCTCAATCCTAACAGGCAGTAAAGAAAGATGCGGAGCGTGGGCCAAGGAGGAGAGCAGCTGCTCACTCTGCCCTCATGACCTGGTCAGTGTGTCCCAGCCACAGTGATGGCCTTCTCTCCGAACTTCCTGGACCTGATCCTTACTCCATTGGGTGTGCTGGTCGGCATTAGAGATGGGCACTAAGTGCATGTAGGGAAAGACTACAGGGCTATCTCTGAAGTGCTAAGTAGGGAGGATATTAGCAGAAGAGAAAAACCCATGGAGAGGAGTTAAGACAGTGCTAGTTCTTGAAGTTTAGAGAAATGGACATCTTTTTTCTTACGTATTCCTGCCTGATGTTACAAATGATCAGAAAGGGAATCACCTTAGAAAAAAGTGTGCAAGGATTATACAACTAGGAATGTAAGAAACTAGAAGTATTGGGAGCTTTATGGAGGGGGATGGGATAAGAAAAAGAGAGGGGTTAAAGGGTGGCTTGGCTTTGCATTCTCAAACACTTTGAAGATCTCTTTCTTTTGAAGTTAGGGGTTTTGCCTTTTGTTTATGAATCTCTTGACCAAAGTAGAGAATTCAAGGTGGGGTCCAGAAGAGAGGTGGCAGGAGAAGCTCCTTCAGATTGGCTTTTGGGGGAGAGGCAGAGGCCTTTCTCTGTCATCCTAAATGGTCCAAGTCATTCTACCAAAGAATTGGGGATTTAGAATAGAATTTATCTTTCTGATAATAAAGAACTGAATATTTGGTTAAAGTTTTTCTTGTGCCATCTCTAGAGTAAGGAACCGTACACAATCCCAAATAACAGTTAAGAATTCTGGTATCATTTCTATGGTTAATGTTGATACTACTATTATTACTGCCATCACCACCAAACATTAATTGAGCAGTCAGAGTCTATATCATCACTTTTAATGCTTATACCGCAACGAAGTAGATCAAGTTACCCCAGTTGAGGATATGGAAGTTGGTTTTTGAATTGATGATAAGCAATTCTTAATACTACGTAACTATCACATGGATTTGAAATAATGTGGTCTGACTCTTGGGCACACTCACCACCCTCTTACTGCCAACTAAGAAAGTCAGATATTCCAAAATGTATCTCTCTTACAGTATCCCTGGGTATATTGCAACCCACACTTGAGATAGCTCTGCTTTGGGAAATAATCTCCTATTTGTCTTTTCTATGTGTTTTCAATCTCATTTTATTATATAAAGTACTCTTGCTCTAAAACATTCAATCTCCAACCTGGTGAGACATGTATGATGCCAATTGTGCAAACAAGGACCTAGAGATGACAGGCCATTGTGTAATATTTTTACCCAAGGTCATACACCTAGTAAGTGACAGGACCAGGACATAAATCAAGTTCTTTTGATCCAAATCCAGGTTTATTCCATTTGTCCTTCATTTGTTCCTGCCTTTAGCTGCTATATGCGTTGTCATCCTCCAGGAATTTTGACCCCCTATTTTACTTCAGTAGTTGGATATTTTGTAAAAATAATAACAAATAAACACAACTAAATCAATAAATGTATCTCTAGCTACATCACTCTATTTAATTTTTGAGTTATCTACTTGGTATCCCAGGATTTTTCAACCTTAGCACTGTTGACATTTGGATCTGGATAATTCTTTGTTATTGGAGGTATGTACTGTGCGTGGTAGAATGTTTGGCAACATCGCTCTTCTCCACCTACTAGATACCAATAGCACCCTTCTATTCTTCTCCAATTGTGACTACCAAAATGTAACCAGAAACTGATATATGTTTTGGAGGAGGAAGGCAAAAATCTCATTCAGTTGTGAGCCACAGCTATTTTTTTAACTTCTTTTCCCCCCCTCACCCAAGGATATGTTTTTGTTTTGTTTTTGAGAGAGGAAGGGGGGGAGAGAGGAAAAAAAGTTGATGAGAGAGAAACAATGATTGGTTGCTTGCTTCCATATGTACTCAGACAGGGGATCAAACCCTCAACTTAGGTATGTGCCCTGACCAAGGATCAAACCTGCAAACTTTTGGTGAATGGGGTAATCCTCCAACCAACTGAGCCACCAGGCCAGGGCAAGAACCACTGCTGTAACTCTTAATTTCTTAAACAAACAAACAAATTAACTTTGAGATATATATTTTTTTTTTGAGGCATCTTGACTTTGAAGGTAAATGGAACTCATTTAGAGCCAAAGGTTTTTTAGTGGAGTTCATAGGATTTTGCTGTTTCAGCAAAATGATTAAGACTCTCTCATCAGAGGGTACTTCTACGGATAAAGGAAGGGCGGTACCTCATAAACCAGAGGCTTCTTGCCAGTTTACATAGGGAGGGAGTTTAGTGCAGAGGAAGAACATTTTGGAGTTTTACATAGAATGACCTTGTAAAAACCGTGTGCTTCCCAGGGAAGGCTTTGAGTCCAGAACCTAGAAGACTTCTTGTCACCTGTTTGGAACCCTTGTTTATCTGAATCACCTACTACTTTCCATCTGAATCATATTCCATCTGAAATAATTCCATCTGAAATTATTCTTATTGTATCCTAATCTTTGCATTATACCAAATCCCCACAGAACTTAATCTGTATTAATGTGTTTATTGATATGTTGTTGTAATAGTCTTGTGTATTTAAAATATTTTGGGTCTATAAATTACAGATAATCTATAATGTTATCCTTGACACAGTTTCTTTTCTGTTAAATTCCCAATTGTGCCCAGTGTAGTGTGGTAAACATTCACTGTAGAAATTGTCATTGCAAGGAGACCAAAGGTCTGTGTGTCACATCTTGCAGTCATCTGAATGCAAGTTCTTGGGGGAGCTGAAAATTTCCCAGCACCCTTGGTTGGATCCTTTTGTCTAGGGATTCTGTTTGCTTGCCCTTTTGAGAGTGTGCCCCTCTATATAGCTTAGGGAGTAACTTGTCTGTTTTTGTCCCAAATGAAGCAAAGTAATACATGTCAAAATGGATTTCAGGGAGAGGAATAAAAAGATTCAATACCCTCTTTGTCTACTGAAAGTTTAACAAGCTGTGGTACATAAGTGACTTTTCTCTTCTTCATCTACCATTTCTGTTTCTTCAGTCACCACATAAGCAAGTCAGGTTTAGAGTCTCAGGACCACTGAGGTCATTGAAGTTTCCAAAGTTCAGGCTGAGGGCTGAAAATAATTTTACTTTAGTATTGTGTCTGATTTAAATTTAAAAGCATATCAATGTGTATGCCTAGTCTCTAGCTCTTAGTATTCTTTAATTTTCCATCTAATTTCTATAAAAATAAAGCATGATATAGTCCAGAGAGATGGATATTTCCAAACCTAGTAGAATATATTATATTAGTCTGTTATATTTATGAATGTATTTATATATATATATATATATATATAAATTTGCTAAAGGTAAATATGAATTTATGCAGTTCATGTAAAGTTTTGCACATTTTTCATCTAAACTGTACAACCATCTGAGGTAGTCCGTATGCTTATTTTAATGATGAAAAAATGTATACTCAAAGTGGTTATGTAAATTTCTCATGTCAAATAGTTGTAAAATAAAAATTCTAGATTTTGGTCCCAGTTTTTTTGACTCCATATACAATGTTCTTTTCATGGCCTTTTGCTTGGAGCAAGTGAGGACACAATCAGGCATTAGAGATAGATATTAACTTACTTTAATTACCTGTGTTGACAAATAGCCATTTCACTTATTTATTTAATCATTAATGGAACAAACAACCTAAGGACTTCTTTGTGAAAGCCTGTGGAAGTACCAAGATAATCAGGACATCTCACTTCCATCAAGTCAGTCAAATAAGAGGTGTTAAGTCACAGTCATAAAGGAGTGGCTTGCCATGGATCACAAAATAAGGCCCAGATCAGGTTCTCACAAAAAGTCTTCTTAGAAGAGATTGTGTCTAAGTTAGGTAATGAAGGATGTGCTGATTCAATGTGGTCAGGAGTCAGATGAAAGTTGGTCAAGGCAGAGATACAAGTGCATGTGAGAACTCTGAGGGGAACAAGAATGGGACTAGGTTGTGGAATGCTGCTGTACACCTGCTTTAGCGATTAATGGCAATGCAAAATCTCTTTTCATGCTTCTCCTATCAGTTGCTTGTTTAGCAATAGCCACAGGTAAAATTGAGAGCTTTGAATCAGGTAGTCCATTTCAAATCTTCAACCCTCGATTTTCTTATCTATAAAATGATTAAGAATTTAAAAATTCTATTTGGTGATGGTTAATAGAGATAAAATAAATCACTTAGCATAATATCTGGAAAATAATAATTGCTTAATAAGCAACAGCCACTACTAGTACTACTGATAATAATAATAACAACCTACCACGAGAGTGTGAAAGTACATTTCAGCAATCCCTGGGCTATATTTTGAATTTTAAGTTATATAAGAAATTGGAAATCACACAATTTGGATATTGTCTCCTCTAATCTCAGGTGACTATGCAGCATATGAAGAGCAAGAAGATCCTAGATTTTGCAGCAAATGCATGGTTATCTCGAATCCAAGCTGAGTGGGACGTTGTTTGTGAGCTTCCAGTCACAAAAGGAGGACAAGCTGTTTTTCCATGTGTGTTACTAATCTTCGGTAGCATATATTACGTATACAAATTGGTTTATAGTTGCTTAAATTTACCTCTGAACTATTTAGGCTATTTCTAAGACAGCTGTTTTACCCATTTAGAAATTACTTTATTAACATCACAGCTTGAGTCACTAGTGAATCTGTGGTTTAAATCACAAAAATGTTCTTATTGTCCAGCTTAAATCACAGGTGCTGAGGCTCTGACAAAGAAAAATGTCATGTTTGTGCATCATCAGGCTTTGCCTGGGGCCAATGGACACATCATGTCGTTACCTCTCTTATGATATATTTTCTCATCAGAACATACATAATTTTATTGACAAATGTATTTAAAAATAAATAAAGAAAGAAATGCTTGGGAAAAAAAAATAAAAGCAGAGAGAGAGAAGTAATAAGTATGCCAAATGAGTGGTTTGAATCTCCTTTGAGCAATAGCCATCATATTGGTCTTGAGATTACTGGTATCTCTCCCTGGGTTTCTTACTCATAGTGCTCACATTGGCTGCCCAAATCCTTCATTATGTGTAGTTACAGAAATAAGAATATCCTCATTTCCTTCAAAAATAAAAATTACAAAACATTCCAAAAAAACATACATAATTTTAAACTTTAAGCATCATGTACAATAACATTATCACCCTTGCTGCTAAAATACTAAGCATGAAATATTTTCCTATGTCATATATAAAAAACATCTTTTAAATAAAAATCTTCTATTTCTTTTCCTGATAAAAAGCTATAAGCCCTCTGGGCATTTGTTAATGGTGTAAAACATGCCCATTTAAAGTTAAAATTAATAATTGAAAGATCAAAAATCTCTCAATAGATAACAGAAAGTCCAAGTTAAAGGAATTCTCATGCAGTATTTTTTACTGTAGCCTGACCTCATGGACCTGAGTTCTCTTGGTATGAATTCCCATGTAATGAATTTCCTCTTGTTTCTCTCCCCTTTGCTTTGCCAGTAGTGAGATACCACATTGATGTCCAGACTGGGCAGTTGGAACACGCAGACACGGAGTCTGAAGTTTCCCTGTGTCTCTATGGGGAAAGGGGCGACTCTGGTCTTAGACTGCTGAACAGATCCAACATGCCAGTAAAATTTCAAAGAGGGCAGGTGAGTCTGCACAAACAGCTTTCCAGGTTCTTAGCAATGTCTCTAAACATGGCCATATATGATTGAAATTGCAAGGTGCTTGAAACCCTTTAAGTTTTCATTTTAGGACACCTTTAACAAAGATATCCTGATCTGACTTCCTAATGGGCTTTGTTTTAAAAGTTGTTCTTGAAATAAAAATGGAACACACTATACTGGTTTTCAATAGTAGAACAAAGAAAAAGACACTAAAAATTAGTGTTGGTGTGAGAAAAAGAAAAAAAATGAGTTAAGATGATATCAGGGAAAACTATGTATGAATATGCTCTGTTGAGACTGAAAGGTATGAAACATTGATATAAAAGGTGCAGTCTTAGAAAGGCTTTTATAGTATATTTCATATGATAACACAATAGACTTTTAAAAAAATATTTTGCATGGAGCCAACTGTATCACTCTCATACATCCTGGCCCTTTACTATTTTTTTCACTGTGTGTGTGTGTGTGTGTGTGTATGTGAGAGAGAGAGAGAGAGAGAGAAAATCTTTCTATATTAGATGTCTGAGGAGTTACAGTAAGATATATAATCAATCCAGTTAATTTTTAATGTATTTTGTTGAATACAGAAAGAAAGGGCTATTTAAGGGCTTGAAATTAAGTGTAGCAATTATGTAACCCAAGAATATATTTTTAAAAATAAAGGCTCCCAAACCAGTTTTCAATTGCTGTTTCTCAAACTTTTTTTTGTAGTTGTAGTTTGTGAAGTATTTTGAAACATCAGAGATTTTAAAGCTCACCTAAGTTTTTGTTACAGCACATTATACAGAAGCTTTCATCAGAATGAATATGAGAGCTAGAACTGATAAGGGTGAAGGAAAAAACAAAATTGTTCCTAATTTTTGCTCTTACAAATGAATTATTAATTTTGAGCAGAAACACAATTTTAGATATCATGGTATTATTATTACTATTACCAAGTGATCAGTGAAGTTATCTACTGAAGAATGTTCCTAGCTTTTCATCAATCCCCTCTTTAACCTACCACTTTGTGATCAATGGTGAAGCCTCCATCTCTCCTGAGCACCTGCTAGTTGGTTGCCGGTATGTGGCATTGTGAGAAATTACATGAGCAGATTTGACAAATCATCTTCTCAATTAATCTCCTTCAGTTCCATTGTACACAGCATTTACCACAGAGTGGAGAGGGTATATTATAGATTAAAATTTAAATTGTAATCAGTTTGTAAGAGTAAAAATATAGGTTTATTGACATGATTTTAAGGTTTAGAATCAGAGATATAAAAGTTTCAGCTACTCTCCCCTCGTCTTTACAGATCTCACGTTTTTCTGTTGTTTTCCTCAATGCATAGAATGTAATGGAAATGCTGAATGCAGTGGCCATGCTGAATGACTGTGATAATTTTGCAGTTGATAAACTGTGGCAACAATCTATGTTTATCACCAGAATGATCTCACACCAGCCACAACTCACTTCTGATTGCGGTGGTGGTTGTCATTTTTTCTACAAAGTGTCCAACTGTGTAATCAAAAGGCAGCAACATACATAATAGGCCTAGTTTAATTCTCTCTTCAAAACTAAAATTACTTAAGAAACAAGAAAAGCATAAAGCTGAATCAGGAAATCTTTCTGGACCTTGAGGTACTGTAGTTTGGTTTTGCTCGAAGGCAGACCATAAGACAAAGACTAGGGTACTGGTAATTTATCTGGGAGGTGATCCCAGTGAGTGCCTTTGAAGTGAAGAGTGGGGAAATTGAGGCAGGAAAAGGTGAAAAGCCAAAATAGTGACATTAATGAGTGGGTCATTACTGAAACTTTTCCTTGCTAGGGACCTTCAGAGAAACCCTGCAGAACACCCCTCAAAATTGTTCCACCACAGGAAGTGCTCAGACACACAAGCAGTAGGAGACTGAAAAGGGAAGCTGGCAGCATGCCTAAGCTATCTAGCAAGGCAGGAGGTGAAACCAGAAGTGGACCTAGATGACAAGGAGTGGGCAGTTAATTGTATCTGCTACAACTGGTGATGCATGCAATGAAACGTCCCTTTAAAGTCAGAGCACATGCACAATAATCTGATTTACAGAAATATCATAGAACTAGTAATGGTTTTGGTTTGACCTAAACAAGAAAAGATTTCCATAAAAAAACATGGAACCAACAGTTAACACCAGGTAGTATATCTTAAACTACCCAAATTGAAATTTAACCTGGTAACAATGTAGGCAAAATAAGCAATCCTGAATTTGCATTTTTACCACAAAGTAGGGTAAGAGTGGCTAATAGTGAACTGGCATTTCTGGGAATGTCTCAAACTTAATTAAATTCATGACTATTTTCTCAGGTCATTTTAGGGTGGTTACTCCCAACAACAATCTATGAGGAAGTAATATGTGGAGGAGTTCTTTTTATTCTAACAAGTATAGCATTTACTTTAGGCCCTCCATCTCTGAAAATATCAGTGAATTTTTGACATGAGAAAGTGACTCTATAAACGTTAGTGATGAAGATTCCAGGATACTTTTTCACAACAAACCCAAGAATGTGCTTTGTATTATTTTTGGAGAAAGGTATAGGAGAGAATTTTGAAGAATGGAAGGAAAAAAGGGACAGAAGGGAGAGAGGGAGAATTTGTTTCTCCCTGCCTCAGAGTATATCAGCCTTCATGGATATGAAACGTACTGTGTATTAGGCCACATGGTTGTCAATGTGACGATCGAATAAATCACGTCACAGGGGCAGGAATTCAAGCAAGAGAAAAGCCACGGATGGGAAACCTTTGTCTTAGTGTTTACTTATTTGTTACACTGAGTAATGCTAAAAATGGAGAGGATAAAACTGCAAGAGAGAAAAAAACACAGCCAGAAATATATTTTTAATAGGTAAAAAGTAATTTGCTTATTTTTCTTTCCTTATTACTTCTTTTGATGCAAACTGTAGTAACATTATCTCTTTTATGGTATTATGCTGCTTCTGGCAGTCCTTGGGCTGTTATTACCTGCATTTGTCATGTGCTGGACTCAAGTTATTTCTGTGCGTTTTTCTCTGTCTCCTGCACCAGACTGATACATTTCAAGTAGAAGCAGTGTCACTTGGAAAACTGCAGAAGGTGCTGTTGCGCTGTGAGGCCAGTGACAAGTCACAGTACTGGTATTGTGAAAAGGTCATCGTCAGAGAACCTGGCACTACATCTGAGTCCATTTTTACCTGTGAAAGGTAGTGCTGATCTCCATGGTACTTCAACAGAGTGTGTTGTCGTGTGGATAATGCTGTGTGCATGTGAGTGTGTCTGCGTGTTTTAGGTGTGTGGATTTGTCATTTATCCAGTATTACACAGCTGTATCACTCATTGATTGTTTCAGCAAATAATCTATTACTAAGTATTGCAAGAAAAAATTATCTTGTAATTTCTTAGTATTATAATATGCTATATATCACAAAAGGATCAAAAGATTAATACTGGAAATTATTGCATGTATCATGAGAATAATTGTTTAAATGTTGATTTCTTTACATTACTAAAATTGTGGTGATATAACAATTTCATAAGGGAATTAAGCAAGGAAAATTTTAGACAGAACTCTCAGGATAGAACCTAAGAAAGACAAAAAGACAATGATCAAGATTTAGGTCATTTGGGCTTTCCCTTGAGCCCCATAATGAAAAGTCCAGGAAGCAATTCCCTCCATTTCTGACCTGGCACTTCTGACTTTAGGCTAACACCTTGCTCTCTAGATTCTTGCTGAGTCTGTCAAGAAAACTCCCAGTGTGCTAGCTAGGCACTAATGTTCATTGCCACTTGGTCTCCCAGTCACGGGGAAGAGGATGGGTCTCAGATTCATGAATGCGATTGAGTAAGAACAGGTTTCCATGTGAAAACCCAATCTATTGTGGACGTGGAGTGAGAAAACTTGGGCTCTTTTTCTGACATTTTGAATCTTTAGTGTTGAGGACTGTCCCTACAGCCTTTTTTTGTTCTTTTGTTTGTTTGTTTGCAAATAAATAATCATCAGGAAATGAAGCCAAAAAAAAAAAAGGCATAAACATTGGAAAATTCAAGGGTACAAATTCGGAGATGCCAAAACAATTGCAGCTTAAATTATTTAGAAAAAGTAGAGCAAACCATGAGTCAATTCAATCAAAAATACTAAATATATGCCACTAAAATCTACAAACACCAAAGATGATTGAAGATGACTGTAACTGAAAAGAAGCAATGAGGACAACAGTAGGCTCTCCCTCCTTTTTGCCTTTTTAGCCATTACATTCAGTCAATTCCTTTTTCAGGGTGCCTGTTTAATTCATCTGTTCTTTTCCATTATCACCTCCTCTGCCCTAACCAATGTACTTGTTTCATTACGCCTAGACTGTTGCAATCACCTTCTGATTATCTTAAGTCTTACTTTTCTGGTGTGCACTACTCACCACTTCCAAGCTAATCATCAGTCTGATACTTCCTAGCATCTTTCTGACTTCAGCTTATCACTCTCTTTTTTTGTTTTTTGCTCTATTTTAATTTTATTTTTACTATTTTATCTTATGGTGTTTCCCTAAAATTTTTCAAGGGAAAATATCATTTCTAAAATAATATTTTAACCCCACTCATCCCCATTCAAAAATCTTCATTAGTGTCCATTGCCTATAAAACAATACACCCAAAAAACAAAACTTCATGATCCTCCCATTAACATCTTTATTCAATCTGACTCCATTTTGCACCTTCAGTTTGTTTTTATAATTGTCCTTTTGCAAGATCTTAGTGGAATTAGACCACCTATGATTACCTGAACAAGTTTTGTTTGTTTTTGCTTCTGTCCCTTGCAATGTGATATTTTCCACTCAAGAATGCTTTTCCTTACTCTATTCTCCCTGTAATAACCCTGTCCATCCTTCAAGTTTCCATTCAAATTCTGCTGTTCTGAGCTAATTGGCCCAACTAGAAACAATTTCTCTCTTCTCCCAGTGCAAACTCAGAACTTAGCATAACAAGCACCCCATCTGTTAAGTAACAGGTAGTGCTGGAGAGATTGAGCCTCACTGCCTAGCCAGCTCCCACGTAACAGCACAGTGGCCACTCAGGACCTGAGGGGTACCTGTATTTTATTCCCCACATTGGAAAAACTATGGAGTGACTCATCTAGGATTTTCTTCTTAGGTTCTTAGGTTTTGATATACTTTGTCACATAAATTCAGTTGGTTTCTTTTAAATGTGGAATCTCCTGGCAATAATTTAGATGTATTTATCCTATTGCGCATACCTACACGTGTATACTGCATCCTGGGCACTGCCTTCACCACCATTGCCCTGCTGCCTCCACACATCACCTTCTGCATCATCTCAGTTCATGTCTGTACTATGCCAATATGGCCTTGTCTGGACGGAAGGGACCTAAGTGATAGCTTAATTTTAGTTTCAATGGATTGTAGCTGAAAAATTTTAATTACAAAATATTTAAGCAACCAAAAGTAATTTAATAGATATATACCGTGCATGGTAATAAGTCCTGAAGAAACAGTAGCCAGTGCTCATTCACACAATACCAGATGAAGAAACTAAGTTGCAAAAATCCTTTCTTCCTCTCTGTAGATGCAGAGATAAGGCAGATCCTGCTCCCTTAATTCTCAAAGAAACATTAAGGGTAGTGGCACCAGAAATAAAACTCAGGCCCAGCGGGTTTCTTTCTACAACTGAAAAAGACTACTCTGAAGCCTTTCATAATTGCTTCTGTGCTATCAGAGCCCTCTGTCTGCATGTGAAAGGTCAAGGACAACTGACTGGAAGGCAGGTGCCAGTCTAGAAGGCTGCTCTAAAGCAAAGGAGACCCGCGGCTCCATGCACAAGCTGGGCAGACCTCTTTCTGGACTGTCTAGTCTCCTCTCAGACCTGGTGCGGGAGCCGGCCAAGGTGGGTGCTGGGCACACTCACTGTGGGTAATGAGTTCTGGGGTGCAGGCAGCAGCAGTGCTCGAATTTATACATCACAGAGGGGAAAAGGAAAGAAAATCTCAGTTGTGCTCCTGATGCTTCCTCATGGGACAAGAATTTAGAACACAGCTGAATTAAGGCAGAGAGAAAGACCACCAAATGTTTGCTTCTTTCTTTTCTAAGTTAAAGGGAGGAAATGCTCAGCTGAAATACAAAGCAGAGCTATAGAAAGAGAGCACTTTTGTGTCTCACAGATGCTGCTCTGGAGGATGCACCTCTCTTTTCTTTCCTCCTCTTCAATTGAACACCCATATCCTCATGGTTTTATTTTACTTCTATACCTGAAAATTTTATTTTTCTGCCTTTTATGCATTTAATACTGACAGAGCATACACCACTGAATTTCTATCATTTACCCATACAACTCAGCTATTTGAGGTTTGGAGCAAGCACAATTTCTATTTGAATCAGGCAAACTGCATTATGAATTGAAATAAGTATTCTTTACTATTTGTATTAGTTTCCTATGGCTGCTCCAACAAAATACTACAGTCTCAGTGGCTTGAAAAAAGAAACGTACCCTCACAGTTCAGGAGGCCAGCAGTCTGAAATCCAGGTTTCAGAGGACCTTGCTCCCTCTGAAGTCTAGGAAATGATCTTCCCCACATCCATCCGGGCTCCTGGTGGTTGGGCGGTTGCCTGCAATCCTTGGTGTTCCCTGGTTTGTGGCTACATTGTTTCACTCTCTGCCTTTGTTGCCACATGACTGCTTTTCCTTAATTATGTATTACCCTGTCACCTGTCCTCTTCTTACAAGGACACTGGCCCTTAGATGAGAGCTTATCTCACTCCAACATGACCTCACCTTAATTATATCTGCAAAGAGCCTGATTCCAAATAAGGTCATCTTCTGAGGTTCTGAATGGACATGAATTCTGGGGAGACACTGTTTAATCCACTATTTGAGTGGATTCCACAGTGTGCTCCTCACTGCCAGGCTTATTAATATAAATTAGAGATCTCTAGACTTTTCTATATGTCACCAAACTTGCACTATTGTGTACATGTACATGTGTAGACCTTTAATAATGAAATCCTTTAAAAGAATTTAGTATCTATTTTTAATACAAACTCTCATCTATGAATATGTTTGATAACCCACTTGACCTAGGAGGGGTAAGATTCCCAGAGGTAACGGTCAAGTTCCCTTGCCTGAGGACAAGGAACCTCTCAGTGCCACCTTCCTTTAGTCTTGACTGGGTTGAGCAATGACTTTGATCTGAGCTAGTGGGAGCAGGTTATTGGAAATAAAGGCCTACTTAGGGAAATTCTAAGTAGAAAGAAATTTATGGATGCAGGAATTGAAAAGTGAAATACTAACAAATAATATTTTGAAAAACTAATTTGTCAAGCAGAATAGCATGACCAGCTTTGTCCTCTCAAAATCCAATCGTGGTCAGATGCATAGAGTAACCCTGAGGCATGTCGCCCTAAGGAATAAGGACAAGGTGCTGCACAGTGTTCCTTAGAGTTGATACTGCAGTGAATGCTTTTAAAGTGTTCCAGCCTCATTTTTATTCAGGATCCTTTAGTTTTGTCTTGTTTTTTTTTTTTTTTTTTAGAAAGGTTGAGATCATCTCCTTTGTGTAAAAATGGAAGAAAAGAAGATTTTAAAAGGTCTATTCTAGGGATAGAATAGACTATCAAAAAGTCCTGGATATTTTTTGTAAGTAGAATGCTCCTCCATTCTAGGTCCACTCTTCACCCTTTTATAATCCTGAACATTATCTTACTTGTGGTTCAAAAAAGGGCCTGTTTCTCCGTTTAAATAATTGCTAGCCCTGCAGGCATATGAGGCAGGCATTTGAAAAGAGGAAGGTAAGAAGGCCTTCTTCACGCCCGTGAGGTTGCACCCTGTGGAAAGTATTGCAGCTAAAGCCAGCTTGAGCACACGCTGGAGCCACAGTCAACCAGCAGTCTGGCAGCACAAGTCTCCTCTGCTCCTGGTCAGCCTTCTGTGCAGTTCTTAGCTCGTGCTTTTCCCTTTGAGTTCACTGAATTCCTGATACTCCCCTGGTGCTTGGAGTCTAGTAGCTCTGACTGGTATATTTACAAGGAAATTAACAAAAGTGTCACCTCTGCCAGGGAGTCTTTCCTGAAGCCTGAGTTTGAGCCAACTGCCACTTCCATGTATACCTTTACCAAAGGTATACATGGTACATGGTGTTAACTCAGCACTTACTGTATTCAGGTACATTTCCATGTTTACATCTGTGCTACCTCTCCCAACT